GGAACACAAAGAGTCACTGTACCAAAAATGACTGGTCAATCTTCATTCATTTCAGGAGGTGGCATATGATCTAGAACCAATGGTACTGAAGGAGGAAGTCGAAGCTGCAATGAAAGAATTGGCGAAGAATAAGGCTCTGGAAATTGATGGAATACCCATTGAGATATTTCAAGAAAGGATGCTGCACTGGAGGCACTCACTCAGTTATGCCAAGAGATTTGGAAGACAGCTAACTGGCTAACTGACTGGAAGAGATCCATATTTGTACCCATTCCAAAGAATGTGGAAATTATCGAACAATATCATTAATATCACACACAAGTAAGATCTTACTGAAGATAATTCAGAAACGTTTGCAGCAGTATATTGACAGAGAACTTCCAGAGGTGCAAGCTGGATTCAGAAGAGGATATAGAACAAGGGATATCATAGCTGTTGTCAGATGGATCTTGGCTCAAGGCAAACAATACCAGAAAGATGTTTACTTGTGCTTAATTGGCTATGCAAAAGCATTTGGTTGTGTGGATCATGACAAATTATGGACAACATTGAGAAGAATGGGAATTCCTGAACACTTGATTATACTCATGAGCAATCTGTACCTCGACCAGGAGGCTGTCGTTCGAATGGAACAAGGGGTCACTGCATGGTTTAAAATCAGGAAGGGAGTGTGTCAGGGTTATATCCTTTCCCCACACTTATTCAATCTATATGCTGAGCAAATAATCCAAGAAGCTGAACTATATGAAGAAAAACGTGGCATCAGGATTGGAGAAAGAATCATTAACAACCTGAGATATGCAGACGATACAACTTTGCTTGTTGAAAGTGAGGATGACTTGAGGCACTTACTGATGAAGGTTGAAGAATACAGTCTGCGGTATGGATTACGTCTCAATATACAGAAAACAAAAATCCTCACAACTGGACCAATGAGCAGCATCATAATAAATGGAAAGAAGATTGAGCTTGTCAGAGAATTCACTTGCTTGGTTCTACAATCAATGCCAATGAAAGCAACAGTCAGGACATTAGATGACGTGTTACACTGGGCAAGTCGGCTGCGAAGGAAGGGTTTCAAATGCTGAGGAGCAAGGATGTCTCCTTGAGGACTAAGGTGCACCTGACACAAGCCGTGATATTTCCAATCGCCTCCTATGCATGTGAGAGGTGGACAATGAATAAGGAAGACCGAAGAAGAGTTGATGCTTTTGAGTTGTGGTGCTGGCGAAGAATGCTGAAAGTACCATGGACTGCTAAAAGAACTAACAGATCTGTCCTGGAGGAAGTGCAGCCGAAATGCTCCTTGGAAGCGAGAATGGCCAGACTTTGTCTCACCTATTTTGGTCATGTTGTCAGAAGGGACCATTCCCTGAAGAAGAATATCGTTCTTGGTAAGGTGGAGGGTCGACGAGGGAGGGGAAGACCTTCAACGAGGTGGATTGACACGGTGGCAGTGACAATGGGCTCAAGTATAGCAAGGATCATGGAGCTGGCACGGGTTCAGGCAGTGTTTCATTCTGCTGTGCATGAGTTCGCCATGAGTCGGAAACAACTCGACGGCACTTAACAACAACAACAACAGCAGATCTGGATCTTTCAGATCACTCAGAAATTGTTGAAGGTGCATTTGTTAAGTATGTGAATGCCACAGGGCTTCTGTTTTTGGATCGTTGGTGTGGGTTCTAAATACTAAATTCAGAGAGACAAACACATTTAAGCCATAATGCTTCTATCACTCACAGATCTGCAGACAAACAAGTTTCTAGATGTTAAATCAGTTGGGGAATCATCTCAGAATTTATCTCAAATGTTGTATTAATTCCTAGTCCAGAGGAAAAGTAATTTAAAGGGAAGATATCCAAATTATAGTCTTATATACATACTTTTACTTTTCTGTGTATATCCTTGTGACTAGGTATTATATTAATGGGTGAATAAATAATGGAGGTACACCATGAGAGCTCCTGCAGAAGAAAATGTTAACATGAAAGGAGACCATTACCCAAGAGTTTGAGACCCTTGTTGTCCGAGCCTGACTTTCACTGAACAAAATGGAGCTCACTGTATCAGATGTTGGTGGTTTTGGAAGGGCTCTTGCAGGCCTGGATGGACATAATTCTGGATTTATTTGCATGTAGCCTGGAGAGAATTACTACTGCTAAGGTCCTATGGATTTGCTAGATAAGAAACAATTTAAAAAAATCTGACACCACATTATAGAACACAGTGGGAATGAGGAGGAAAATGGAAAGCCAGATGGTCAGATACCACATGCAGGAGTCAATGTTGGGAAGAAGGAAGATGGGATAAGTGGAGGAAATGATATGGAAGGAACCTGGTAGAATTCTTCAAGTCAGAAGTTTGAGCTGCTCTTAAGGTAGATCCTCGAGCCTCTGGGTTTGGCCTATAGAATCAGGACCTACCACTTGAAAATATACAGAAATGCAGGGGTGAGGGCAGGCAGGGAGGCTCCAGTTTCATACAGATATGTATTAAAGCTCCAGCTATATTTCTTTTTAGCTTTGTGACCTTGGGCAAGTTACTAAAACTTTATGAATCTCATACTTATCCTACTTGTTTGAGATGCTTGCAATGGGCTTAACACAGACCTTAGAACATAGCTCAGAGGCCAATATATACACTTGCTACTGTTTTATTGCTATTATTTTGCAGCTCTGGACACTTACTCTTTTCTCTTTCCAGCACCCTCTCTTGGGATTCAGAGAAGTTGTCTTAGAGGAGGTGATCCCTGAGCTGCAAGTAATGGCCTGGAGTACAGACAGTGCATTCCTTTATTCATTAAAGTTTTTGAGAGCCTAATCTGTTCCAGCACTGTTCTACAGGATGGGCATACAGCTATGATCCAAGCACACGGAGCAACCTCCCTGGAGCTGATATGCTAGAGGGGAAGAGGCCTGGGAAGAATAGCCCCTGTACCCCCAAAATTCTCCTCTATGGACAAGCCTGCATCTGCTAGGAAATACCATGTGGTCACCTGTCAAGCCTGCCTTATGGACACTGATGGTAGCCTGGGGAAGGTAAAGTGACTATCTTCTGGAAGCTCTAAGTCCCCACCAGGTTACAAATTGGGTAAGGCTGAGTATAGCCTCAGGTAGCAAAAAGGAGCAAGTGACAATGAAAACCAGTAATTTATGTGATTCCCTCTGAGTGTCTAGAGTTAGAGCGGTGTGCAATAGGGTTATACACCAGGAGGTGCAAGTTGGGGGTGTCCACTCAGACCAAGGTGGATTGTAGGTGCAGAGGCATTTTTTTTTTTTTTTTTATAGTCCAGACAGCAAAATAAACCATAGTCAAGGTATATAGGCCAAGTCCAGCCAAGTGCATCTTCTGTGCAGCCTAAGTACCATCTGGATGAATAGGACTCAGAGCATGGAGGGATAGGCTTGGATCAAACCCATGACTCTTGTATAAGCTAGCTGTGTGTGTTTCCTGGGGATGCAGACCAGGCATCCCTGATAGGGCAGTGGTATAAGAAGCTGCCACTCACACACATCACCACTAATATTAACAATCTTTGCTTCCTTGAGCATATGTGTTTGCAGATAGATAGGTAGTTCTTCACCTACCTTAGAGTTGCAGTCATTTTTTGAGAATGGGAGATGACCTGTCTCCCCTCAAGTCTTCCCCCTCCCACTTCCCCAGCCAGGCTCTTAATATTGGTCTCCACAGTAATATACTTTAGATGGGCCTAGCCAACTTTTCTGGAACTGATCATAAGGGACAATGCTACTTCAGGCCAAGGCTAGTCTGAAATCTGGGATTCACTGCTAGGCACCTGGTGGTTCCCCCAAACCTTGCTGGAACCAGCAGATAACTTGGTGGGTACCCTTTACCTAAGTTTACAGCTCGTTTATCCAATGTAAGTCATTAAGCAGCTTTTTAGAACCCCTCACTGAATAAGGAAAGAGTCAAATTGCTACTGCCCATTCAGAAACTAGATGGGAATGCCAGTACTAGTCTTAACTGAAATCTGGCATCTTAGAGGTTTATGACATTTTTCTTCTGCACCCAGTCAGGTCACATACTAGAAAATCGTATGAGTACAGATCTTGAAATAGTTCAGTAAAAGTTGAAAACACCGTGGAAAACATGACTCTCTGTGCATGGCTTGGTTACACAATGCAAGAAACTTGTGGAGCTGACATGGCCATGTTGAGAATAGTATGGTATGGTGGTAGCAGGAGAAACTCTGGGAATTAATATTCCTATCTTAACAACACACACCCACAAACCACAAAATCACCTCTATTCTGAGTTAATATATTTTTAAAATTTATTGTACCATTATTATCCATAACATGTCTTTATAGAGTGTAACTATTAGGAATACAAGTAAACACTATGGCTAAAGCCAGGAGCAAGACATAGGACTATTCCAGGGTTAGTCAAAAGTTAGTCTGCCAGGTGGCCCAGAGTCTGGATGGAAATGGGATAAAGGGAGTGCAATTGAAGATTCTGTGGGTAAATTGCCACTATTTATGACCTTTGGCAAGAAGGGCAGAGGAGGGTGTATGTGGTGACTTGAGTACAAATTGGGAACTAATCAGCATCATGTAGACCTCATGTACTATTCTACCACAGTTAGTTTCAAGACCTGGTAACTGGTTAACTATGTGGCTGAGAGACAGATCATGAGAAAACAGCTCTCTAAAAGTATATCTTAAAGCAATAAGCAGGATCATTGTGCTCTGAGACCCATGCCTTTCCACTCCTCTCCCCTTCATGGACATCTGTTCTTTTCCTTCTTCTTTGTCTCAGCTCAGGGGTTGGGGGGGCTCTCTGGGAGTGGAGCCATATGTGCTCTGGGCCCTCTCCTCACTGCCTTCCTCAAGCTCCGATGCTGGCAGGAACAAGCTGCCTATACCTGAAGAAGTATTCCTTAGTAGGCGGCCCAACTCCTTCTCATAGCATTCCACCGCTTGCAGTATATCTCCCTTCATCTTGTGAATTAATCCTTGCTGATACCAAAAATTTGGTGCATTTAGTGAAAGCTGATTTTCATCTGTGTTCTGCAGCTGGCATTGCATCTTTTCCTCCTCTGCTGATTCTTTGCCTATTGGCAAACCCTCTAAATAATGTTCCGACTTCCTGTGATAGCCCTGAAAGTCACCATGGCACTGATGGAGTTGCTGCCTCTTGGTGTTATTACTGAATGCTGTCTGGTAATATTCTTCTGCTTCTTTGTACTGACCTCTTTTTGCCAGGAGTTCAGCGAGATCAGCATATACAAAAGGATCATTTATTTTCTTGTCAAGAGCTTTCTTCATATAGTCTATAGCATATCCTCTTAGTTCTTCACCCTTCTCCTTATTCCCATTAGCTGTATATCCTCCTATGTTCCATATTTGCTTGATTTTTTTCTTGTAGCAACATCCGATCTGGTGATAGAGGTAACCATTGTTTGGCATGGATTCCAATGCCCTTAAAAATAGTTCAATAGCTTTGTCTAGGTCACGTTTCGTTTTGTAAAATTTGGCTGCACTGCGAAGGACATCTGTTTGGTAAGGAGCTTTCTTCAGGGCCTCTTCAACCAACGGCTCCCCTTCAGCTTCTCTATTCATCTTCTGCAGTTTCAGAGCCAAGAGAACTTTAATATACTGGTGGTCAGGATTTATCTCAATGGCCTGCTTCAGAGTGTCAACAGCTAACTGCTTCTGTGGCTCGTCATGCAGACAATATATGGCAATTGCCAATCCAGAGGAAAATTCTGGGTTGTTGGGTTTGTCTTCCAGAGCCTTCTCAAAACATACCTTCGCCCTTTCACTGTGCTTTCCTCCACACCTTAACCTTGTCCACCCTTCCTCACCGTCTAGCTCAGGACACTCAAGACTATAAGGATTTGAAAACTTCTCACAGGCTTGTTTCACCTTGTCTATGTAATCTTGTGCTTCTGAGAACCTGCCCATGTGATAGTAGACCCAGGCATAGTTTCCCCAGGTGACCAAACTTCTGATTTCTGCTTGGTCAGCGTGCTCTCGCTGGATCAACTCTTCAGCTTGCTGTAAGCATTCCAGGGCGGCCTCGTTTTGACCATTCAGATGTTTTATGTAGGCCAATAAATTGTACATAGTAGCTTTGAACTCAGTGTTTAAAAATTCAATCTGGTTACACACTCTGTCTTCTAGATCAGATGAGACACTTTCTTTCTTGAGTAAATGCCACGTGAAATGACATTTCAGCTGCGGAAGGATTTTCTCCAGGGAATTCTTGGAGCTCTCACTGTGGAGAAAAAAAAGATGGTTACTCTGATATGCATCTGCCAAGCATCACACCCTTAAGTGTTCTATCACTTTCTCCATTTATCTTTATATAGCTATGGTCTGTGCTGGACCCACAAAGCACATTCCTCACACTGTTAAAGCAGATATATAAGAGATGGGGAAAGATGAATGAGAGAAGGGCAGAACAGTATCTCTCTGGTTATGTCTCAGTTCTTGCCCATTCTGGGTAAGTTTACTTAGTCATGCACTGACCTTTTACTGGGCACCCTCTCTGTGTCACTTTCTTAGTTGTTAGAGATACTAAAAAAAAAATAAATAAATAAAGATTATCCCAAGCTTCCCTGCCCCTTCAGGATCTCACAGTCTAGTTAGAAGGGGACATGTAAAGACATGCATGAAAGCACAGGAGTGTTTACCAACATGTTATATAATTTTATCCTTTTCCTTCATCTTTTCTACCACTTCCCTGCAGTCACACTCAGATCTCTGAAGGCTTGGCTTGAGTCTGATCGACAGTCCCCACCATACCAAGACAGATCCCCAGAGACAATGAATTTATTTCAAGAAACAAATAAAAGAGACAAATTTATGTTTTAGTGGTTAGAAGATACCAAGAGAGGTCACTTCCTTTACTTAGTTAAATAAGTAACTTCACTTCTCCTCCCGCCCCCTTATCCAATTATGGGGTTTATCAAGGAAGTAGCAGGTTACATTTCAGGATCAGAAACAACTCAGGATACAAGTCTTTGATCAGGACAGCCTCTTTTCAGACGTGCTATGGGCATACTTCTCTCTGGACTCTGCCTCTAGGCCCTTTGGTCCCTGCCTTGCTCAGGCAAGTGTTGCAAAGGTCTTTTAGCTCTGTCAGTAGCTACCCAGAGAAGCACCCAACTCTGCCAGCAAGCGACCTACTCAAAGGCACTTGGCTTTCTTGCTCTGTGGGCCAAGAAGCCCATTGCACTGTCTCATGACTCTCTCTGCTGCCAGTCTCTGTTGCTGTGTGGGATATGCTGCCTGGGTCTGCCACTGTAGTTTCTCTGCTGCTGCCTCTCACCATCTCAGCAAATGGTTAACTGCTCTGTCTTCTGGGTCGAGGAGTTACAGGGATCTCAGGTCCAAAGGATGTGTTTCACTCCTGGTTCTTCTTTCTTGGTAGTGGTGAGATTCTCCCCCCACTTTCTGCCTCTGAGATGGCTCATTTTAAGCCTAGCTAGATGGCAAAACTGACCAGTCCCCTCATGAGGGTTCTATATACCTTATTTGCATGGTTCCACCCACATAAGTGTGCTGTGTATATTACTAACAAACTATCCAATCCCCTTAGTGAGCCATAAGCACCACACATTTGCACAGTATCACCCAGTCATCTGGTGGAAGTTACATGGCTAGAAGAGTCATATTAAGTAATTCTCTGCACCATAGTACCACTCATTGAAAATAAAATGGCAAGGTGCAAAAAACAAAACTAAATATAGATCTGAATTATTTTAAGAACAACTTTTAGTATGGTGGCTATGAGTCAGGATCGAGTTGATGAGAACAGGTTTGGTTTTGGTTTACGGTGGTAAAGTACACTATCTCTGTAATAATCTCAAACAGGTTCAAGACCCACTCTGCCCCTAACCATCATGTAAATTCAGATAAATCACTTCACCTCTCTGTGTGTGAGTTCTCCTTATCTTTCTAAATGAATGTAATAATAGTGACTGCCTCATAGATTTGTGAAGAATAAGGAAGAGTAATTTCACTTCTAAAGGGGCTTGGGGTATGTTTTACTAAGTTTGAGTTTTTGTACTCTACCTTTTTTTACCAATAGAATCCTACTCACCAAAATTTGAGCAAAAAGTTTCTTCTGAGTAGTTATTCTATATGTATATACAAAAAACAAACTCATTGCCATTGAGTCAATTCTGACTCAGTGGACCTATAAGACAGAGTAGAACTGTCCCCATAGGGTTTCCAAGGCTGTAAATCTTTACAGAAGCAGAATGCCACATCTTTCTCCTGCAGAGTAGCTGGTGGGTTCCAAACGCCAACCTTTCAGTTAGCAGCCAAGCTCTTAACCACTGCACCCTCAGGGCTCCTCAGGTGCATGTGGGGAGGCCATTGTGATTCCAGAAAAAGAAAGTTAGGTACAATGAGGTTTATAGAGATAAGAGCAGGGAGAAATATATAAGATATCCATTGGCTAATCTTAACGGCCAGAAGAGCAGGAGAAAGGGGATAAAAGCCAGGAACCTGGACAGAAGAGCAGTCAGCCCCAGGGATACAGGTGAGGAGAGACAACTCAGGGACGCCCAAAGCAGCAGGCCGGAAGAGCAGGAGAAAGGGGATTAAAAGCCAGGAAGCAAGAGAGAAGAGCAATCAACCGAAGGGATTAGGTGAGGAGAGGAAACTCAGGCCCGCCCAAAGCAGCAGGACCAGAGAGCAGAAGAAAGGGGATAAAAGCCAAGAACACGGACAGAGGAGCAGTCAGCCCCAGGGACAACTCAGGGACGCCCAAAGCACAGGCCAGAAGAGCAGGAGAACGGGGATTAAAAGCCAGAAAGCCAGACAGAGGAACAGTCAGCCATAGGGCCCAAAGTGGGGGTGATACAAGAGGTCTCCAACAGCAAGACGAACTTGTCTGTCGGTTTCTCCTACTGTGGTGACATGTAGACGTGAGTTTTGAGGCTGAGCCTCTGGTGTTTAAAACCCAGCAAGATACACCTGGTGCACAGGTAACAGCCCAGCTTATAGACTGAGACAGACTAGGA